AGTGTACTTGACACACAGCGTGGTTAGTGTACTTGACACACAGCGTGGTTAGTGTACTTGACACACACAGCGTGGTTAGTGTACTTGACACACAGTGTGGTTAGTGTACTTGACACACAACATGGTTAGTGTACTTGACATCACTGGATGGTGCCTGTCAAAATTATTGACTTGGCAAATGCTTTATCTGTATTTTGTGGCTGTTGGTTGCCATTGAGTCTATTTTCAACCTCATTCACAGTAGAAATGCTTCATAGGGTTTTCTGGCTATCATCTTTATAGGATTTTTCCACCATGGAGATGCTGGATGGGGCCAGTCACAAACCTTTGTATTTATTCATTTAATCATTGTCGTTGTCATTGGAACCAACCCACAGCTGACCCTCTAGCAGGTTTTCAGGGGCTGCAGTGACATGGGAGGAGGCTGCCCATCTTTCTTTCACGGAGAAGGTAGTGGATTTGAACCACCTGCCTTGGGCCTGACCTAACCACTTGGCCCTAACCTTTTTGTTAGCAGTGTTTCACTCTTTGTGCCACTAGGGGCTCCTTTCTAAGTTTTTACTGCAGCTGCAGGTCTGGGAGCTGGCTGGTCCTCTAGTGACCTGTTTCTGCTCAGTAGAGGTGGCCTCCACCATCCATCACAGGGCGGGCCCAGCCCACTGCCTTCTCCACAGCCTGTCTCCTCTGGTCTTCCCTGTGCTCCCTCTCCAGGCCCGCATCCTCTCTCCAGGCTTTCTCAGCTGCTCTCTGCCTCTGATCTTGCCCTCTCTAGTCTGTGATAGTGCAAACTTAATATGCTCACTGCTAACCAAGAGATTAGAAGAAGTTTGAGTCTACTCAGAAGTGCCTCAGAAGAAAGGCCTGCCAATCTATTGAAAAACCAGCCCTTGAGAACCGTACGGAGCACAGATCTGTCCTGGTTGGAATCCACTTGGTGGCATCTGCCTTGAGTTTTTGGTGTAGGATGTTGTTGACGTGGCTTCTGGAACAGTCCCTCGAAGACAGAAGGCTGGTCACTCCCCAACTACACAGCTTGCAGTGGCTCCCCATCATTCACAGAATCGAGTCCCCTCCTCTTTACAGGCCTTCACGGCCTCTGGAGTGTGGCCTCTTTACTGAGCAAAGAGTCTGTAGTCCTTTCAGAGGCTCCCAGCACTGGCTCTGAGCCAGATCCTGACAGGCAGACAGACACCGTCCCCAGCAGAGGATGTTGGGGGGCACAGGACAACAAGGCACCTGTGTTCACAGGGCTTCCACCAGCAGAAGGGCTGACGCACTTGAACAGAATCCAAAGCGGTACAGAACCTGCTTGTGGCAGGTTTGCCACACCTGGGAGCCAGCACCTGGGAGCGGCAAGATAAGCCCCACACGCTGGGTTTGCCTTTCCTCAGAGAACCCTCCAGAAAGGGGCAGCACAAATACGCCTACCTGGTTAACCCTGAGTGGTAGCTCGGGACTTCACACCCATGTGAACTGGGGGCTTCTGACATTTGTGAGGACTGAGCCACACTTTTTTAGGGGCGCTTGAGTGGAGAAGGAAGTAGGGAGGTGGATCTTCTAGAAGTGCTTCTTATTCCTGGCCTGGAGCTTCTCACCTTGTAAGGTGAATTCAGGAGTGGAGTAGAAGAAGCTTCTAAGACTTCAAAGCCTGGCTTCCCCTGAGGGCTAGAAGGGCCTGGATGAAATGATAGCAAATCATCGATCTGAAACCAAAGCCCTTCCCAGCTGGGCTGTGCCCTGGCCGAGGCCCCAGACCCGGGCAGTTCATTTGTTAGAATGCTCCAAGTGCTCGGTGTCTCCAGAGGGGATGGAGGCTGTATGCAGGGTGGGGTGCACCCCCTCACAGGCCTGTCCTCCCTATCCCCCCACAGCTCATCTACGATGCTGGTGTGACCTTCGTGGTCATCATGTTCACGTGGGCAGGCCTGGCCTGCCTCATCTTCCTGAACTGTGCCCTCAACTGGCCCCGCGAAGCCTTCCCGGCCCCCGAGGAGGCCAACTACATGTGAGTGTGGGGTGCTGGGGTGAGGAGTGTGGGGTGAGGGGTGTGGTGTGCTGGGGTGAGGGGTGTGGGGTGCCGGGGTACAGAGTGTGGGGTGAGGGGTGTGGGGTGCTAGGGCGCGAAGTGGGGGGTGCTGGGGCGCGGAGTGTGGGGTGCTGGGGTACAGAGTGTGGGGTACTGGGGCGCAGAGTGTGGGGTGCCGGGGTACAGAGTGTGGGGTGCTGGGGCATGGAGTGTGGTGTGCTGGGGTGAGGGGGTGTGGTGTACTGGGGTGCGGAGAGTGGGGTGCCAGGGTGTGGAGGCACTCTCTGCTGCAGTGTGACCGACATGATTTGTCTATGGAGTGGCAACCCCAGATTGGGTCCTCTGCTTGGCAAATCACCAGAGTTCTTGCCCTGCTTTTGCACCTGTGCCCTCCTGCAGGAGTTTCTCACTAAGACGTCAGGTACTAGGTGTTCCAAATTTACTGGTTATTATCCTTCTAGGATTTGACAATCCAGGTGAGGGTAGGAAAGACTGCCCCCAGCCACAGTGCAGATGCCATGTGGGCCCAGAAAAAATATAGCCAAGCAAGCACACTGAGGTGGCATTCATTGGGAGCCTACTCACTCTTTCATTTACAAGCAGTTTCTAAGACAAGAATCCTTTTGTCATTGTTGTTGTTGTTATGTACTGTCAAGTCGCCTGTGACCATAGCGACCCTATGTACAGCGGTTCTGAACCCAGTCCTATCCTGAGCCAGTCTCACTGATTCTGACACGCCAACTCCTATTACCCCAGTTATCCATTTCATCCGGGGTCTTCCTCTCCTGCACTGGCCCTCTGCCCCTCTGAGCATGATGTCCTTCTCTGAGGATCGGTCCCTTCTGGCCACATGCCCTAAGTAAGGGGGACAAAGCTTCAAAATCCTAGCCTCCAAGGAGAGACTTGGTTTCACCCAGACAGACCTATTTATTTTCTTGGTGGTCCATGGTACGTTCAAGACTCTTCTCCAGCACCACAACTCACAGGCATTGATTCTTCTGTCATCCCTTTATGAACCCCATTTTACAAAAGGTCAAGGAGAAAGGTCAAGCCTTACAAGGGATGCCTGAACTCCGTAAGGATAGAGATAGGCTGTCTGACTTCAGAGTGTGATTTTTCAGTGCAGCCATTTTCCTGGAAGTGATTTGTCTGTGCTTCACTGACTGGGCACCTTTGACTGTCCTGGACCAAGTCAGGCCTGTGGTGTGGGGCAAGGGGCCTCAGAGCCCCCAGGACAGGCTGAGAGGAGGGTCCTAGAGGGACTGTTTCCCATGTGCTCTCTCCCTGGCAGGAAGAAGATAAAGCTCAGTGGACTGGCCCTGGACCATAAAGTGACCGGTGACCGCTTCTACACCCACGTGACCAATGTCGGTCAGCGGCTGAGCCAGAAGGCCCCCAGCTTGGAGGAGGGGACAGACATCTTCATCTCATCCCAGGATGTCCGTGGCACCTCAGAAAACCCTTCTGAGAGTGAGTATCTGGCACAGCTGCCCACTTTGGGGACCACCAGGCAGCAAGTCCTGTGAGCACTGGGGTGAGACTGTCCCCCTGACCTCCTTCAGTGCGCGCAGGATGCTTCCACGCCATACCAAGTGTCCCTTACTCTTTGTTTGCCAGAGGTACAGAGAGTAATTCTTAGTGACACCCTGGCAGAGCAGAACCACCTCATATAATTTTCTTGGCTGTCATATTTACAGGAATAACTTGCCAGGTCTTTCCTTGATGCTGGGGGGGCATTCAAATCACATCTTTCTGGCTAGCAGCCCTCTACTTAAATCATTGCACCACCAGAACTCCCCAAACTCTCTTTTGCAGGAACTCTGAGCAGTTTCAATTCCGGGGGACTCTGTTGGGTTCCCAGGATGAGCGAGGTAGAAGCTGAATGGGCGGGCAGGGTCTTCAGGTGTCTGGGAGCAGATGAAATGAGTTCAACTTCAGGGAGTTTTACATCAGACACAACCGGGAGATGGCTGTAAGCCCCCTGCTGGCGATAGGAGGAACTGCGCTCTTTGCTTCCCTGCCAGCCAGGGGTTGGTTGGGGACATCTGCTTGTGTCTTTTCCCAGGGAAGTTAGTGAAGGTGAAATTGCATCACAGATGTAGGAGAAGCTCAGTATAAATGGCAGGTTGGTACACTGCTTTGAGAGGTGTTATCTTGACTCACCTGGGAAAATGTCAAATCTGCGTTCAGACTGGCCTGCCGCTTCAGTCATCACTTAACCTCAGAGCTACAGTTTCCTCATCTGTAAAATGGGCTCACAACCAGGTAGAAGATTTGGCTCAGTGGGATAGCACTTTCCAAGCATGTAACACGCAGAAACACCAGACCAAACAAGGTGCCTGTTGATCCCACCTCACGGCAACCATGTGTGTTTCTGAGTAGGACAGTGTGTTCCACAGAATTTCCTTCCTTTCTTTCAGTTGTGTTTATTTTACTGCTATTGAGAAAGCACATGACAAAACACATGCCAGTTTTAAAAACTCCAAAAAATCCACATGCCAATTCAGTTGTGTCTCTCTATACAGTTGTGTTACTTTGATGTCTCTAAACAGAGCAAGGAGGCCTTGGGGACAGCCAAGTCTGACCTCCACTAACTCCTCAAGGGCATCTCAACAGCATCCACAGCACAAAACCAGTCCCCAGGAGGTCAGCCACGTGCCCTTTACTCACCCACCTATTGATAATTCCAAAAGCGACGATACTACCCTACTGGGTTGGAAATCAGTTGCAATAGCTACAGAGACCTCACAGAAACATAATTATGGGGTTTAGTAGGGAAGTCAATAGGTTAAAACTCTGTTTGGCAAAAGGGTATAATTTCTCAGTCAGGACAGCTTCCGATGTTGCTTGCAGGCTCTTGAGCCTTCCAGCTGTAGGTGGGTGATATACAGAGCTCTCTTCGTGCCGTCAAATAGGGGAAGTCTATCCCTCACCCTAGGCCTCTACCAAGCACAGCCAAAGGCCCCTAGCACTGGTTCTGTGGGGCGCTGGTCCCAGGTCAGCTCCGTCTCACATCTGGTCTCTGGTTCTTTGCTGTAGCTGGGGTTGCTCTACTGTAGGTCTGGCTGGCTTAGGAATCTTTGGCCCCAAAGGGCCTGCACTGCGTTTTCACTGCACTGTCTAATGCCCTGCATTATTTGCTGCATCTTTCTTGCTGGGAGTGAGAGTCCCAAATGTCTGCCACTGAAGATCATCAATTTAAATTGGATAAAGTGGCAAAACTAGCCAGTTCCCCTGCTGGGTGGACTCATTCTGTTTCTATATGCTCACCCAGCTACATGATGAAGTCAAGGCCAATGGCGCCTCAGAATCCTTACTAGCAGTCGATAAAATCCTCATGGATCACTGTGGTGGGTCCTTAACCAGTGACGTAGCTGTGCAGCGTGGTTCTGTTGTACCTGGAGTCTCCACGGCCCGGGGCGGACTCCCCTGGCAGCTGGCACCACCAGCCCATGCCATTGCTGGGAGCTGGCTCCAGCTCATCACAGCCCTGTACGACAGATCACACACTGCCTGGTCCTGCACGGTCTGCACGGTGGCTCCAGGGCTTAGGCTCCTTGTCACGGTCACAGTCAGTTCACCTCGTTGAGGGTCTCCCTCTTCGCGGCTGGCCCTCCACTTTCCCAAGCATCATGCTCTTCACCAGGAACTGGCCCTTCTTGTTAATACGCCCAAAGTACAGAATCTCACATCCTTGTTTCTCAGCTGCATTCTGGAGAATGTATTTCTTTTTTTTTTTAAAATTAATTTTAATGAAAATTTACAGAGACTTTGGATTTCCATTCATTCACTTCTAAGAAAGATCTGCTTCTTTGTTTGTTGGTCCATGGTAAATTTATTCTTCTTTATTACTATGATTCAGATGCATCACTTCTTTGGTCTTCTTTGTTCATTGTCTGACTTTCACATGCCTGTGAGATTATTAAAGATACCAGGGCTTAGGTCAGATCTACCTGTGTCCTCAAAGTGAAGCCTAGGTCACCCGCAGGTGTTCTGCAGAGACAGTCAGAGCTGGGCCAATGAGACTGAACCTCTCATTTACAGCAGAAAGAAGCAGTCCAAGAGGAGATGTCCAAAGTCACAGAGTTAGTGCTTGAACTGCCGTTAGAATATGTAGGTTGGAGAGAACCGGGGAAATGAAGGCTTGGGGCTCAGGGGTACCCCTTTACTGTCTCCGCAGAGGCCATCCCCTTCTGCAAGAGCCTCTGCTCCCCCATTTTCCTGTGGAGCCTCCTGACCATGGGCATGACCCAGCTGCGAATTATCTTCTACATGGCCGCCATGAACAAGATGCTGGAGTACTTCGTGACTGGTGGCCAGGATAATGGTGAGGCGCTGCTGAGCCCGCTGGGGGCTGGGGGGACACAAGGGGGCCTCCCTGGCCAGGCTTTTCTCACCTCAGCTTCCTCCCACAGAGAACGAAGACCTGAGAAAAGGGGCAGAAGAAACAGGTAGGGGTGGAAGCTGGGATCCTTACCCGTCCGCAGGGGGCAGGGATGGTTGGTCCAGACCCTCCTTTGTCACTTGGGACATTTTGGGGGGCTAGGAATCTGGGGTCAGAAGGCTCTCTTGGTGCTCATTTCCCTCTACCAGAAGCGGGTGGTACAGCCCACTGAGGAGTGGGCACCCCTTGGGCCAAATCCTGACCCCACTTTCCTTCTCACCCCGCCCTGGCCAGTTGGATTCTATTCTTCCATCTTTGGGGCCATGCAGCTGTTGTGCCTGCTGACCTGCCCGCTCATCGGCTACCTCATGGACTGGAGGATCAAGGACTGCGTGGACACCCCCAAGGAGGGCTCTGGCCTTGGCGACACCAGGTGACCCACGCAGGGTTGGTGACGGCACGAACCTGTATGGGGGATTTTGCTTTCCAATCTGCTTGCACATCTGGTGTCTTGTTTTCATCCTCTGAGAGGCCTGCGAGAGCAGGACTGCCTCCCCATTTTACAGATGAGGAAACTGAGGCCCAGAGGGCATGGTTTCCTAGACAGTAAGGGACAACTCTGGCTAAGCGCCAAGCATCTTGTGTTGTCTCAGTCCCTGGAACGGAGGAGTAACTTCCTCAAGCTCTGGAAGCCTTATTACAGAGAGCATGCATGCAGGCCTCAGCGATACTGTACGTTTCACTCCAGACCACCACATAAAGCAAAGGTTGTGGTAAAACAAGTTACACAAGGCTTTTTTGGTTTCCCGGTGCAGAGAGGCTATATTTACGCTGTACTGAAGGGAGCTCTGGTGGCGTAGCCCGCAGGGAGTTGTGCTGCTCACGCAAAAGTCATGCTCCTCTGGCGGTTCAAATCCACCAGCAGGAGAAAGATGGGTGGTCTTCTCCCATGTGCTTTACAGCCTCAGGAACCCAACAGGAGGCCAGCTGGGAGTCAGTTCTGACTTGGCAGTGGTGTGTTTTGAGTTTTAGAGTTGCCTGTGAAATGTGTTATGGAAAAGGTTTGAAATACAGCGAGAATTACCAAAACCTGACACAGAAAGTGAGCACGTGATGTTGGGGAAATGGTGCCAACAGCCTTAGCGGAGAGTTGCCACGAGTCTTCAGTTTGTTTGGGAAGAGAGGAAAACAGAAGCATCTACTGAGTGTAACTGAGCAAAGCCCGGTAGAAGGAGGTGTGCCCGCACTGTCTCACCTTAGGGGTAGGACAGAGACAGCAGTGTGGAAGAGATGTGTGGCTCATGGCCAATTCCCCCCAAAGCTGGCATCTTGGATGGACCATTTAGAATGTGATACAGTTTCTGAGGGCAGGCTGTCTGGGGGTGACTGTACCTGGTGGCTGTAGTTTGGGTGTAGAGCTGAAGCCGTCAACAGTCCGAGTGTTAGCAGAAGAGGCCGGCCCTGCTTCTCGGCTCCCTCTGTGGCTGTTGGTAGAAAGCTCAGTCCTTCCCCTCAAGGATATCTCTGTAGGGCTATTGACAGCAAGACAGCTGATGTCCCCCAGAGCAAAAGGCAAGCCAGAGAGGGCGAAGGAGAGAAGACAGCCAGGATGGGAGCCCCGGGGCTTTAAGAACCCAGTGTCAGAATGGTACACATCACGTGGGCCCGTATTCTGTGGGTCACAGAGCCTGATGCTGGAGCTGTGGGGGAGCCAGCCAAGGGTGTGCCATCAGGAGGCAGGGACCCCACTGAGGTGTGAATGCAGACAACTCTTGCTCGTGGTGTGTTAATCCAATTGTCCCTATTGGCATAGGCCACGCCCCAGCTTCCTCCCCTGCCCTCTGCTCCTGATGGCCAGCGTCCATTAGCAGAGACAGATGGGGCAGCATGCTCACACCCTGGCCTACTGACCTCTCTGCCAGGCTGGCTTGAGCACGCCTTGATCACGTCAGATGTGCATGCAGGGGGTTCTGCTGGGAAATGGGGGTGTCAAGCTACCTTCCCCTGGATGGCTTCTGCCCGTCAGGCTGGGTGGGGAAAGACGCCTTCCTGAGGCTTCTAATGAGATAGGGTTAGAACTCAGTGTTCCCTACCTTATCCCGCTTCCATGCCTCTCAGTCTAAAGTGTGTGTGAGACAGACAGCCGGAGTGCTTGTCAAAAAGCAGATGCCTGGCCCCTCCCCCGAGACCCTGCAGTCTGGGTCAGAGCCTGGGAACCTGCTTTCTGAGGAAAGCCCCAGGTCCTGCAGGTGTCGTTGGTTGGGGCCATTACTAAGCTGGAGACCTGTGTTCTATGTCTTCATCTGCCCATCAGCAGGGGGCGGGGCCAGGCCAGGTATTCCACTGGGGAGGTCGAGGCAGCGGCCTGTAACTGTTTGTCCCCTCAGGGACGGGATGGTCGTCAAGCCCATCAGACTGCGCTACCGCAAGGTCCAGAAGCTCACCAATGCCATCAACGCCTTCACCCTGACCAACTTTCTCCTCGTGGGGTTTGGCGTCACCTGCCTCATCAGCAACCTGCACCTCCAGGTACCCACCGCCTCCCCCCACCCCAATCTCCATGGAGTCCATTTCGCCTTCTAATGCCCCTAGAGGACAGAACCCAAATGCCTGTAGGATTTCTTTTTTATTTTTGGTGCCATGACTCGGATGAGAACCAAGGTTACTGTGGTGCGTGTAGGGTTTCTAAGGCACAGCTCTTGGCGGAAGCACACTGCCACGTCTTTCTCCCATGCAGCAGCTAAAGGCATTGAACCTTCTGCATTTATCTTAGTCTCCCAGGGCATAATCACTGCACCACCGGGGTGCCTTCTCTCTGCCCTCAGGGCTCCCCAAGGGGTGTCCCACCGTCACTTCTCCTTGGGGACTCAAGGTTGTTTTATGGATTCTTGGGAAGCGTGTCTACAGGTTTTGGTTTGGTTGGAGCGGGTAGGAGCATGTGGGTGGGCTCAATGGGGACCCTCCTCCTCTTCTCCCCCACCCCTCCTTCCTCCTGCCCACACACCATCTCACAATGGCCTCTCTCTTCTTTGTTCCAGTTCGTGACCTTCATCCTGCACACCATGGTCCGGGGTTTCATCCACTCCGCCTGCGGTGGTCTCTACGCTGCTGTGTAAGTCAGCTGGGACATGCTTCCCCAACTGGAGAGTCCCAGAGCAGAGATGCAAGGGCCTTGGGCAGCCCTACATGTCCTGAGTCCCGTCCCCTGCAGACACCCCCTTCTCCCAGCTTTCCCAGCTCCTGTGTTTGGGGCTAGGACAGATGTCTCAGAGCTGATGGTCACTGTCCATCTGTGGCCCTCACCCAGCCGCGCTAGTGATGAGGAGTTCACTTCCTCTAAAGCAGCCTGTCCCTTATGGGATGACCTGTAGCCAGAAAGGTCCTTCTGAGAAGAACCTGAAATGCTTATTTGTCATCTTAGTTTCTTCATGCTGATATAACAGGAAAAACTACAAGGGGGGTGGCTTTAATGAACAGAAACTTATTTTCTCACAGTCTATAAAAAGTTGATTCTAATGCATGACAATCCGAACAGGACAGAAGAGATTTTCAATTCCAAAGAGTTTCCAAGGCTCTTCTCTTTACCGAGTGGCATAGTCCATAGGGATTTGGCTCTGTTAACACAAAGGCCTCTTGTCTCTGGCGATTCGAGTCTGTCACCCTCTCCAGGAGAAAAAGATGATAGTCTCCTCCTGTTAAGATTGACAGCCTCTGTTGCTAGGAGTTGGAACCAACTTGTTGGCAGTGAGTTTTGAATCTTTATGAAAGGAGACTGCCACATCTTGTTTCAGCTGGTGGCTTTGAACCACCGACCTTCCAGTTAGCAGCTAAGTACTTAACCACTGCCCTACGAAAACTCTCTCACAGGTGGTTGTTGTTAGGTCTGGTCAAATTGGTTCCAGCTTATCACAACAGAACGAACAGTGCCCGGTCTTGCAGCATCCTCACAGTCGTTACTCTGTTGGAGCCTGCTATTGAACCACTGTAACAATCTGTCTCACTGAAGGTCTTCCTCTCCTGCTGACTCTCTCCTTCTCCAGGTCCTAGTCCCCCTTGATAACACATCCAAAAGATGTGAGGCAACACTTTGCTTCTAATGAGCATCCTGCCTCTTCTTCCACAGCAGATTTGTTTGTTCTTCTGGCAGCCCATGGCGTAGTCAGTATCCTCTAACACCACGATTCAAAGGCTCAATTCTTTTTGGTCTTCCTCATTTATTGTTCCATTTTTACCACAAATACGGTGGCCCGAGAGAAGCTTGCCTCAGTCTCCAAACTGACATATTTGCTTTTTAACCCTTCTGCGAGGTCTTTTGCAGCCAGTACAACATGGCATTTAATTTCTTGACTGTTCTGCATCCATGGACCGTGACTGTGGATCCAAGTAAGAGGAAATCTTTGACAGCTTCAGTCTTTCTGCTTATTGCTCCAATTGAGAGAGTTTTGTTTCTTTATGCTGAGGTGTCATCCATACTGAAGGAGTATTGATATCTAAGGATTTTCATCAGTAAGTGCCTCGGTTCCTCTGTTTTCAGCAAGTAAGGTAGTGTCACCTGCATATAGCAGGTAGGTAGTTAATCTTCCTCTATTCCTTATGGCATCTTTTTTTTTCACACAGTCTAACTGCTTGGGTTAATCTGCCCAGCACAGAGATTGGATAAGTGTGGTGGAATGATACAACCCTGATGCACATCTTCCACGATTTTAATGATACAAAAATGATTTTTCATTATACACTATCCCCTTGTTCTGTTCAAATGTCTGCCTCTTGGTTTCAGTACAGGTTCCACCTGAATACATTTAAATGTTTTGGAATTCCCAGTCTACCAGACTGTTATCCACAGTTTGCTAGAATTCACACAGTTGAATGCTTTTGCATAGTCCGTAAAACACAAGTAAACATTTTTGTGATATTCTCTACTTTCAGCCAAGCTCCATCTGACATCAGCCAGCTTGATTTTTGGCAGTTCCCTGCTGATATGGTGCTGCTTCTTCTTTTAAATGATCTTTAGCAAAATTTTACGTGCATGTGATGTTAATGATACTGCTTGATAAATTCTGCATTCTGTTGGATCACCTCTATTTGGAATGGGCACAGATATTGATCCCTTTCAGTCAGTTGACCAAGTTCCTTGGCATGGATGAGTGAGCGTGTCCAGGGCTGCGTCTGTTTGCCGAAGCACCTCAGGAGGAATTCCTTCCATTTCTGAAGGTGATTTCTCACCAGAGTTTTTGGTGTTGCTTGGACTTCTCCCTTCAGTATCTTTGATTCTCCATCATAAGCTCCCTCCTGAAATGGTTGAAAGTTCAATTCTTTTTTTGTTCCAATGACTCTACGAATTCATCCCAGCTTCTTTTAATGTTTCCTGAATCATTCATTGTTTTGCCATTTAATACTACCCCTCAAGGTGTCACTTCTTGGCTGATAGTGAATCAACTGCTGATTTATGACAGCCTCATGCATGGTGGCTTCAAACCTTTGTGTGGTGTAGAATTTTCACTGGCTGATTTTTTTTTTTAAACCAACGTGTCAATTTCTAGGCCTTTTTTCCTAGTCTTTCTCCATCTGGAAGCTGAAGCTTGTTCAGCATGATAACAGCATTCAAGCCTCCTTGGAAAGATAGGTGGAGACTTGCACTCGAAGTGTTCTGAGTGGGAATCAAATCCAGATCTGCCACATGGCAGGGGAAAATCTTACCACTGAAGCCCCACTGCCCACTTGTCCAACCTTGTAGGCCATTACAGAGCCTTAGCTTTGATGTGAGTGGAGCAGGGAGATGCCCTGCTCAGGTGTCACGTGAGAGGATTCGTGACCTGTGCTGTATAGCTTTCCTACTTTACACAAGACAGCCCAGGACCCCTCACTGTAAACATCAGGCCCTGCTGACTGCCTCTCCCTGTGTGTGTGAAACGGAACCATAGGACTTCACAGCGGAAATGGTAAAACCACAATCAGTACCCAGAGCTCACCCTGGGCGGGCTCTGTACCAGTCACTTACCCAGCCCCTTCTCTTAGCCTCACTGTAGCTGCCTTTGCCAGAGGTCAGCTGTTCCTTCAGACCCAGCCCACTGACACTCCTGTCAGCTCCACATTCCAAATGCTGGGATTCCCCCAAATCTGACCGCTTCTCTTCACTCTGTCCTCTGTTATCCTGGTCTGAGCCCCTGGCCTCCCAGCTTGCGTTACTGCCCAACCCCTAACCCCTGAATGGTCTCCCCCCTCCCTGCCCTGGCCCTCCTTCAGTCTATTTATAACGCAGGCACTTGAGTCACCTGTTAAGACATAACTCACTTCACACCACTCTTGTTCTGAGCACACAGCTCAGAAAACCAAAAGGCTTCCCTCGGGCTGGAGAGACCCAGAGGGCACTGGGACCCCGCCAGCTCTCTGCCTGCTCCTTCCTGGCTCCTTTGCTCCCAGCTCCCAGTCTTAGTTCTCTAGAGCTGCTGTCACAGAAGCAAACCAGGGCAGAAGTCTGGGTTCAGGGCACCGACTCAGGCCCAAGTCTGCCTCCCCTGTGTGTGCTGTGGGGAAGGCCCTTGCCTCTCGTCCTTCTGTCCCTTCATCCCTTGTCCGTCTTCATGTGGCGTGTGTCTTCTGGAACTTGGTGCTTCCCTCTTCTGGGCCCACTTGTCTCAAAGGTGATTTCAATTTGAGAGACACTCTGTGCTGACTGACATCTCATTAACATCATAAAGTCATGTTTTGGTGAACTCTCCCTGGTTTTGTTGTTGGGAGATGTCATTGAATCAGCTCCGAATGTCACACACACAACAGAAAACCCACAGGTCTGACCCCGCCCTGTCCTCACAATCTCCACTGTGCTTCAACCTCTTACTGTGGTCAGTGTGTCAACGCATCTCCTCTTCAGGGTCTTCTCTTTCACTGACCCCCTTTTCCAAGCATGAAGTCCTTTCCCCAGGACTCGCCCCTCCTGACGATAGGCTTTGGGTGTGTGTGGCCGGCCGGGTCTCCCCATCCTTGTGTCTAAGGAGATGTCTGGCTGAGCTTCCGGGTGCCGTTGGCACCCACACTGCAATAGGACTTCAGCCTTATTTTAGGAGCACCCAGTTCAACCCGTCACACTCCCCTTCTTCTGCTCTGGCTGGATGGGCCCCCTCACTTCTCAGAAACCCCAAGCACACTCCTCATTCGGGGCCTTTGAACCTGATACTCATTTCTGAGAAGCCTTCCCCCCAGAAACCCCGAAGCCCATGTCCTCACCTTCTTTAGGTCTTTCCTAACTGTCCCCCTCTTGGGGACCCTGCCCTGGGCCATCCTGCACAGCGCCCGAGACGTAGCAGGAGCTTGACAAATGTCTGCAGAAAGAGTAAATGAATCTGGGAAAGGATGGTGAGCATGGCGGCCTGCGTGCAGCACGTCGCCGGTGCAGCTGAATTATTGCTGCAGATATGGTTGAATCGGTGACTGTTTTCTTATATATGTTCTCACACAAAGGAAGAAAAAAAAAAGCAAACAACCCGAAGAGGGTCATGTGGTCGCTGTTTACTAGCAGAGGAAACGGGTCGGGGAGATTGGAGCTGCTGTTTGCTGAGTCGACTCTGACTCCTCGCTCTAGGACAGAGTAGAAATGCCCTGTTTGTACTGTTCAGTGAAGCAGACTGCCCATCCTTCTCCCTCCGAGTGGATGGGGGCCTCGAACCACTGACTGCAGGTGCCAGAAACCCCAAAGTCATGGTGTGCACCCTCGAAGCCAAGGGACCTTGTGTTGGGCAGCCGAGGCCTCAGCACCCAAAAAGTGCACGCCAGGAAATGTCTGGGGGAGTTCAGAGGGGCACAGGGCTGTGGGGGGGCCAGGGAGGCAGCTCCCCTCTGATGCTGGGGTTTCTTCTTCCGCAGATTCCCTTCTAACCACTTTGGGACGCTGACAGGCCTGCAGTCCCTTATCAGTGCTGTGGTCGCCCTTCTCCAACAGCCGCTCTTCATGGCCATGGTGGGACCCTTGGAAGGAAACCCCTTCTGGGTGAGAACCGGGCTGGTGGGGAGGGAGCTGGAGCTCCTTTGTGGGGTACAGTGAGTGAGTTGGGGGGCTGGTTTATGATAGTCTCCATTCTAGTCTCATGGCAGCAAGAAGGACCCCTCTGTAGGGGTCTCCCAACCTGGCTGTCCAACAGAACTTCTCAACAGGATATTACAGAGAGGCTCCCCTGCCCGCCTACAGACGGGTCTCTGGGCCCCTGGGGCAGCAGTCTGTGATTATCATGAGCTTCCTGTGACTTGTGGCCCACTTCTGACCCCAGAGTCTGGATTCAGCAGCCAGTTCAGTGTCTCCCCCCAATGCAGGGGTTCCCTCTCCAGCACCCCTCACAGAGACTCCTCCCTTAGAAGGAACACTGCGTTGAGGGCGTGACCACTTCTGGACAAGCCCCAAACCAGCATCACAGAGTCACTGGACTTGGGGTGACCCCATGTGTGAATTCCAATTCATGGGGACCCCATGTGTGACAGAGTAGAACTGTTCCTTGGGATTTTCTTGGCTGTAGTCTTTTTTTTTTATTGTTGTACATTTTCTTTTTCCCCATCCCCCAGCCCACCCCACAGAGCACCCCTTGTTTCAGATTGTCGTCATGCACATAATGCCTAGTCATGTATTCCTTTCATACAGTCCTTGCCCTCATCTATTCTAATGTTCATTATCTATCTGCTCTTTTCCTACTCTCTCCCTGAACCCCGTCTCTGTCCTGTTTTATAATAGTGATGTTATGCAGTCTTTGTCCTTTTGTGACTGAGATATTCCACTCAGCATAATGTCCCCCATGCTGTGAAAAGTTTCACGAGTCCATTGTTTTCCAATGCTGTCTTGGCTATAATCTTATTGGAAACAACTCACTAGGCCTCTTTTGTTTGATGCCATGGGGTGGGTTTGACCCGCTGACCTCTAAGTTAATAGTTGAGTGCAAACTGTGCTACCCAGGGGCCTCCCTGTGGGAGGAGCTGTGTCCTGGTCAGAAAGGCCTTGCTTGCACTGAGCTGACATCTGTGCTCAGGAGCTGATCGCCCCTCCTGAAGCCCCACCTCCCAGAACCCTCCCTTCCACGAGAATCCTGGCATAACAGCTCCCGTTTACCAACCCAGGCACACCGAGTACTCCGTTTTCATCCGCTTTTCCCCCAAACCGCTCTGAAAAGGAGGCACTTGAAGTTGTGATTACTTGATTGAAGTAAAACTAGGAAGTTCAGCCCATGGTTTGAGCCACTTTCCAGGATCACCCAGGCCTGTCTTCCCTCCACACCCGTGTCCCAGCTCCTTTATCTGCCCAAGAGCCTCCCTCTTCTCACCAGCCGCCTGGATCTCCCAAACCAGCCCTGACTGGTCACTGTCCCCAAAGCTTGAGGCTCGTACCATGAGGCCATGTTTCAGGAGCAGCCTGACCTGCCTATGCTCCTACGATGCTGTCTCCTCCTTGGTCCACTCACATGGAGCCCTGTTGCCCTGTTGTACGAGCACTGAGGTCAGCTGGTGTTCAAGCCAGGCTCTGCCACTTATTAAACCTGCCCGACTATTCCCATCTCGGGGCGGCATGCACGGAACAGTGATTGGCTTAGCCTGTTACTGTCAGGTCAATGTGCATGGGAGTTGGACTGCTCCGTGGGTTTTTCTGAGCTGTCCCTTTACAGGAGCAGATCACCAGGTCTTTACTCCTTGGTGCCTCTGGGGACACTTGAACTCGAAGCTGCGCTCCAACAAGCCGTTCAAGTCCACGGGAGAAGGGTGGGCAGATGTGATAAAGTTCCTCTGAAAACCCTCTCGAGGGTCAGCTACGGATCAGTTCTGACTCGATGGCCCACAACAATAGATGAATTACAAATCGTGTGTGTCAGTCAAGGAGCTGCTTGGCACATAGGAAGTACACGATATGGGGTAGCTCAAATGGTTACGCACTCAACTACTAATTGAAAAGGTTGGCAGTTCAAACCTACCCGGGGAGACACAGAGCTGGCTGGCTGCTTTCAGAAGGTCACAGGCTCTGGATAACTCTAGGTTGTCAGTTCAACTCTGCATACATGGGGTCATCGTGGGGTGTAATCAACGCAGCACTGCTAACAACAGGCGCATCATAAATGCACACAGTAAAGGCTCGTTCCAGGGATCCTTCTGGCCCGGGATGTGGAGCAAAAATGACTGTCCTCTATCTTCCCTGATACAGATTCAGGGGTGTCCCTCAGGGTGACGAGCGCAGATGTACCTCCTTAACTCCTCTTCTTCCTTGTCCTAAAGGTGAACCTGGGTCTCCTGGTCTTCTCGCTCCTGGGATTTCTACTACCCTCCTACCTCTTCTACTTCCGTGCCCGACTCCAGAAGAAGTACGCGTCGGGCCAGGAGGACCTACAGAAAGTCCTGACAGGCTCGAGTTGACCGTCTAACTCTGACCACCCAGGCCCAGAGACTTGAGTGACACACAGCCAGGCCTCACCAACCAAAGGGAATGCCCGTGTCACAGGTTACCTGTAACTTGGGCACAAAGCCAGGGGCTGTGGATTTATAAATACCCAGAGTTCTATTTTTATAGGGATTTGCAAAAAAGAAGGGGGGGAAAAACCTTTAAAAAAAAAAAAACCACCTCCCAAAGCAACGCTCCATTGACTGAAGACAGCCTCCGTGCTGGAGGGCCTGGCCATATGGCCTTTCTCCAGGGACTGGCGGACACACGTTCCCTGGTCCTTTATCATGGTGACTCCTGGGGACTTGTGGGGTCTGCACACAGGTTGTTGCTAAGGTCCCAGCTACGCAGTGCCAGGAGGGTGCACGTGTGCACGTGTGTGCATGAGTGTCTGTGCATGTGTGTGTGTGTGTGAGTCCACGCGTACATAACCTTTCCTTCTGAAGGAAAGGAAACAGAGGGTGCTGGCTGTGTCCCGAGAGGAGTGTTGGGGACAAGCTCCCCTCTGGGGCCTGGAGGGCCCGTTCCCTCCCTGGTGCTGCTGCTTGTAGGTCTTAAGAGGAAATAAAAAGGGAAGTGAGAGACTGACTGGTGTGGACTGTGCTTTGGGGTGGGTGGATGGCTTCCACCTCTCCTCTCTTCTCACCCAGCCTTAGCTGGGCATTAAGTGGGACACTTGGAGTGCTAGTTTGTCCCTCTCTGTCTGGTTCACATCCCTGCTCTCAAGCAAGCCCTTGGGGCCTGGAGAGAGAGAGTATACCTCCCGCCTCCCCCTCCACTTCTTAGGCTGGGGAGACATGTAGCGGGGTGGTCTTTCTCCCAACAGCTGGATGCTTTAGAAAGCTTGTGGAGGGCTTATACCAATGCCTCTGAGGCGGCGGCGGTGGTGTGCTGCTGCTGAAAGTAACACTTCTTCCTGGCCTCCTAATTTATCTTCAAACTCCATGCAAATGTTGAGCTCCACTTTATACTATATTTACATTTGCTTTTAACATTAAAGCGAGCTTTTAAAATTACCTACATCGAGGGAAAACAACATCTTTGAGGAAAGGAACTTCCAGGAAGACGTACCTTATTTATCCCGGGCCTTCTGGAGTCCCCTGGTGCACCTGCTGGTGCCCTGGGCCATGATGAGCCTTGGAGGCTCTTACAGTAAGGCCTGGATTGTTACGGTGGGGCGGGGCCACCAATATTTGAGGATAGGTGAGTGCTCTACACAGGAGCCGTTTAATCCTCCCTGTAGCCCAAGAGATGGATGCTGTCATCCTTGTGGTGCAGGCTGAGGGGACAAGCTCTGAAGACTAAGACACACGCTGACGTGCACACAGCTGTACGTGGTACAGTCCACAAGAGCACTGGTAGAGAGGCCCCATGTGTCGCCTTGGCTCCCCCAGTCTCAGCTGCCGACTCGGGACTGAATGTGCCTTTTCGACCCCCCTCCAGCAACCCCGGTGGGAATGTACTCTTGAGTCAGTTCTTACACAGAGGCCCTACAGCACAGAGTTCACTTGTCCCATGGGGTTTCTTTATGGAAGCCAACTGCCAAATCATTTCTCCTGCTGAGTGGCTGCCAAGTTCAAACCACTGGCCTTTTGGTTAACAGCTGAGCCTTCAACCATGACACCATCAAGGCTGTTAAAAATCCAGGAAAACCTCAAATGTTAGGGCTGGAAGACAAAATTTAATCATCAGCCATTCCTCCCCACCCCTTTAATTTTATGAGTTCATAAAACAGACCTACCCACACATTTTTGCAGAGGAGGAAACCTGTCCAGAGGGGTTTGGACACTGGATAAAGTCACCCAGCAGATGCCTGTTTCCTCTGAGCCCAGGTTCCTGACTTCCAGTTCACTGCACTTTGTGCAAAATAGGCAAGCATCCACCAGTGGAACCGGCTGCTTCCCGGGGTACCTGCGTGCGTCTCCCTGTGGCTCCCTGTCCTGAACCCTTCCTTTTTGAAAACCTTAGAGCTGGTTGTGAGGTGCTAAGAGCAGTCCAGATTCAGGGTGAGGTCAGGTGGTGGAGACCAGGCTTGTGCACCGGGGACGCGGCGCGGCCAGCAGGCGGCGCTGCGTGGCTGCGGCTGGCACAGCCTGGGACGAATTGGAGATGAAGGGACAGCGAGCTGGGAAGGGACCTTTTCCTCGACTCCGCTTACCCAGGACCCTGCCTTGTCCGCTCTAGCCTCGCTCTCCCCGGCTTCTGAGATATCCCCTTCTCTCGCCCTTTCCAGCGATGTCCCCAGTCCCACTGACCCTCAGAACAGAAGGAGGGGTTCTCGGCGCTTGTCCCTGCCCATCTGGTGCTGGGGACCCCGAGTGGACGTGACAGCAGCCTCGGCCTCCTGGGGAGAGTGTCTCCGCCCCGGGGAGTTTGGGGAGGGGGCTGGCAGGGGCGGAAGCGTGCGGGAGCCGTGTTTGTCGCTCGGCACTGCCGAGTAGAACAGATGGCCTGGGAGGGGAGACGGTGCGTGGCGGGGAGGAGGAGGGGTGCGGGGGCCGGAGGATGCGGAACGAGGAATTCGACGCCCCGAATCTCCCAGGAGAAGCCCCCACCCATCTCTTCCCAGAAACAGGGGGTGGGAGCGCCCGGCTTCCTGGAGCGCCCGGCCTCTGGCCCACGCCCTGCGTCCGGGCTGTGTGCCCTGCGCCCCAGCTCTGCGCCCTGGCCCCCGGTGGGTCAGGTCTGCGGGAGCGGCGGGGAGAGGGGGCGAGCTCAGGACCGCAGAGCTTGTGGGGAGAACCAGTTAATTGGAACTTTATGCAGATGAGCTGGGTCTGTCGGAGGGGACAGGGGCTGGGAGCAGGTCAGAGGCCAGGGGTCCAGAGTTCCGGGGAGACGGTGGTGGCAGTGCAATACGTACCCCATCCTATCGCCCAGCCTTGAGGAGTGACATTGGCTCTAGAAACGGGGTGGGGACTTCGTGGGACTCTTCCTGAAGTTGGGGCCTTAGGTCACCTGGCGCAGAGGACAGGGCAGGGGCGCTCTGCACGTGTCTGCTTGGCTTCTGGCCGCCTTCCTGGGGGTCACTTCGTTGGGCCCCCTCCAGTCGGTTCCAGGCTGCTCTCAGACGTCTCTACCCTTTCTTCTTCGTCCGCACCCTTTATCCCTGTCCCTGGCACCTTCCTCCCTCTCCACAGGGGAGGGTTTTCTGTAACTTCCAAGTGTTACAGGAAGGGCTGGGGAGGAAGTGAGGGGGCTGGTGTCTAACTTAACTACCTTTATCTTCTGCCCGTTCCCTGCACCAGTGAGGGGACATTTTGCAGACTACCTTGCTTCATAACTCCGACCCACTTGCTCAGATGCAGATTCCTAGGCTGGGCTCAGAGGACTGATTCTTAAGTCTGAGGAGAATGGGAACCTATATCAGAGCAGCTCCAAACTGGAATAAAAAATGCATGGTTCTCAGTTTCACAAACACTGGGCTGGAATGATTGAACTTGAACCCTCTTGGCCCACCCTACCCCGACCCTTTCCCTTCTGCTCAAGGCTGGCATTTCTTCTTCCTCTATGATGGTGCCAGGCCTGGGGAAAGTGCTCAAGGAAGGAGAGAGACAGAGACACACGCAAACAGAGACAGAAAGAGAGAGAGATACAGAGAGAGAGGGGGAAAGAGAAACACCGGTGGGGGGGGGGGAGACGGAGGGAGGACAACCTTACACTTGACTTTTCTCTCTCCTCTACCTGCCTCCTGCTCCTGGATCAGTGACACCCTGACCTCTCTCCTCAACAGCCTGACCCTGCTGCTTTTCTGGTTCCCTCCTGGTTTCTCATTTTAGGTTTAGGAAAGCCAGAGGGTCTTGGAGGGGGCAGCTTGGATCTGGGGTGGCGGTAGGGTGGATAAAGAAAGCCCCTGCCTTTAAAGTTAAGGGCCAGAAGCTTCTCAGGATTTCAAGGGCGGCAACAATAACCATGTAGAGACAGGTCACCTTTCCACAGCACTAGTGCTCTGTCCCCATGCAGCAATTCATTTCAGGCAGGTATCGTTTTCCTCTGGCTTTCATAGGAAGAAAAGGGTGCTCAGAGAGGTTAAGCAACTGACCCAAGGTCACACAGCTAGTAACCACTCATGCATGTACTGCCCCCCAACCCATTCCCCAAGTGTGGTCACTCTGGAGCCCAGTGGACAGCTGTCTCAGGCGTGCCCCCCAGCCCTCCCTCGGGGCTAGTGAGAATAGGCAAAGGGCAGCAAGCATGGGGATGAAAGCAAGCTCCGGTTTCGGAACATCTGACAGGTCTGGCTGGAAGCATTAAAAATTCATGCAGAAACCTGACCCCCGCTGGGCCGTGGGCCTGCCACCTGGCCTGGCTCTGGCCCAGTGGCCTCTCTGAGTCTGGGGGCAAGTTCCTTTCTGTAGTGTCCTGGGTTCCAAGTCCTTCTTGAAGTCTTTGTATTTCGGAGGAGAGGGGTTCTCTCCTGGGCTAGGGATTCAAAGTCAGCTAGCAGTTCAGAAAGCAGGGCACAGAGCCCTCCCCCCCTCCACCACCCGAGGCCTGGGGTGTAAGAACCTTAGAGGCTTAAGGGTTTATACACCCTGTCATCTGGCGTCATTCTGGTCCTTTCCGCAGACAGGGAGCTGCTCACTCTCAGTTTAGAATGAAGACTGACTGTGCTTCTCAAGGTGGCCAGTAGGGGGCAGTCACCTACTTGTCCTGAGCCTCTGGTGGTGACTTTGAAGGGAGGTAACAGAATCCCCAGGTAGGGCCAGTGACACCTGGCCTGGGGGATGGGGCTCTGGAGTCTGTGGTCTGAAGAGAATGGGGTTTCATCGTTTGGTAGAAACTGAGGCACATTAGAGTGTATTCCCGGTAGGTGTGTAGATTCAGAGCGCGTGATCACCGATTGGCCAGATAAGATCATTCTCTGAGAGTGAAGGTTTGGGACGAGGCCATGAGTGAGGGGGTTAGAAGAGCAGCCTGGACCACTCTGAGGGCCTTTTGATGTTCTGCTAAGATGTCTCTGTCTTTAACATGCAGGCACCCAGGTTCCTGAGTGACACGATGACATAGATTTTGTCAGATGGATCTGGCCACCCCAGGCAGGCTGGGTAGGAGGGAAGGAGAGTCATGTGTGGGGAAGCCAGTGAGGAGCTATTGTTATTTTCGCCTCCATTCTAGGCATGAGGTAATGAGTTGGAGCAGGGAGCTGGTGGGGGGATGGAGAGGAAGGGGTGGATCAGGCTGGGAGGGGGACTGGGGACGGGGTAGATGTGAAGGAGATGCAAGAAAAAGAGTCACGGCTACAACCAGACTCCACGTATGGTGCATGAGGAACCCTGGTGGCGTAGTGCGTTAGGTGCTGGGCTGAGAATGGAAAGGTCAATGGTTTGAACCCACCAGCCACTCCTGGGGAGGAGGAGGCAGTTTGCTACTGAATAAAGATTTTACAGCCTCTAAAATCCAGTGGAGGGGTGCCATGAGCCCAAATCCACTCAAAGGCAGCGTGTATGTGTATGTGAGGAGATTTGGAGAGAATACAAAATGGGGTACACTTGGAATGTGGGTGGTGTGAGTTTTGTATCTTTCCAGATTTGGCCTGGTCTCTTCCCCTCTGAGCCACTGTGTTCACACCACAGCATTGGGGGTGGGTGAGTGTTGGAGTGCATGGCCTTAAAGGTCCCTCTACTTCAACTTCAGGGTGTGTGGTTACAAGAATCTGGGGCGTCTGAAGAGGCTGAGGGGGGGTCTGTGTGTGGGGCTGTGTCTTGGATCTGGGTCCTGGTTGAGTGAGAGTACCTGCCTACTGGTACTGGGGGTGCATCTGCCTGTGTGTGGGCCCCGCGGGTGCCTGGTGTGCCTGCACGTGCTCCGCAGCTCCGTGCAGGCGTGGGTGTGCACGTGATGGGCGTCCGTGGGTCTGTCTGGGCTGGTGGTGGTGGAGGTGGGGGGGCCGGAGAGCCTGGCTGCTGCCGGCTCCTTCCTGAGACTCACACACTCCTCCTGCTCTCGCTGTTCTGAAATAGCATCTGGACTGAAGGCCCATGAATATTTCACAACGATAATTCTGTGACCTGGACAGCCTGCTTCTGAGTTACCAGCATCCCCCTCCGCGCTGCCCAGGCCCCAGCCGCCCCGCCCCTCCCCTCCCCGTCAGACCTCCTGCTTGGCTGGCCCCCAGCTGGGCGTGTGAGCTGCCTCAAAGCCAGCCTGACACAGCCCCTGGGAGATCCCAGCCTCAGAACTCCTGGGTTCCTGACCAGCTGCTTCCACAAACCCTCCACATCTCACACCCTTATTCAAGCTCCCCCTGACTCAGTTCTGCTTCCACGTTTATGACTTCCTTGATGCAAGTCAGCAAAGGGCAGCCTCTCTCCTTGAACCCTAACATCCCTGTCCCCATCTATCTTTCCATCACCACATTCCAAGCTAGGTTCTTCCCCCCCCCACTTTTTTTTTTATTGTATTACTTTTACATATACCGTCAAATCAGATCTGACTGGTACAGGAGGAGATTGCCTCCTCCTTTTCCAGCAGAGCATCTGGTGGATTTGAACCGCGTTCCTCTGGGATTGCAGTGCAGCGTCTTGCCACTAGGCCACCAGAGCTACCTCCAAGCTAGGTTCTTAACAGAGCATTCAAGCCATGAAACTCTCAAATTGCTCCATGCTGATGACACCCACCTCGAAGCCACCCTACAGCCTTCTTAGCTTGAGCTTTTGCTAATGGAAAAACAGTGACTCAAGCACTCACAGTCACCTGGAAGAAAGGCCTGGCAAGGCAATCCCGAGACCACACCCATGAAAGGTGCATAGAGAGCAGGTGCACTCCGTAACACGTGGACCACCACCAATCAGAACAGACGAGACTTTCCAGCCTTCCCTCCACACCAGAATCACAAAGCTGTTGATTACAGAGCAAGCCAGCAAGTCCCCCTAACCTGGGATTCTTGTCTTCTGGTGACCTTGATCCTTTGGCCTCTCCTCTAGCAGCCTTCTCTGACCTAGTCCACTCCTGACATGTCTACCCCACAGGAGCCACGGTGATAGCGACAGGCCTGCTGCGTCCAGCTGTGCAGGTTGGACACTGCACAAAGGTCACTTAGCCTGTGGCAACTGTGAGCTGAAATCCAGTCTTCGGCTGTGCTCGCTAAGGTGTTTGCTCTGGTGTTGGACTGTGTTTCCCTGGAGGAAGAAGAACCTTTTTCTGATTTGCCCAGAGGCGTGTTTGGACTGGCTGTGACCAGGGAGGTTTATATCAGGCTTTATCTTTCCTGGAAAAAAAAAGCTTGGGAGGGAGAGTTTAAGACTAGAAGCCTCCCCAGGCCTCACTCATCAGGTTCTTGGGGGGAAAAAAAAAAACCACAAAAAAACCCACCAAAATAGCTATCGGGCGTCACAGCTTCCACCGGATCAATGAGGCCATGAGGTGCTGTCAACCCCCACCCAGAAGAGGAAGAGAAGCAGGACCCTGGAGTTCCACAGTGGACCTAATGGGACTCCAGGGTCACCACTTCTCTTCCTCAGGCCTCAGCTTGGGGGAGGGCAGCACACCAGTTCTAACCAGCAACTTCTTCACCTTTGCTGTTGTGTCAAACTGGAACTGACCCATAGCTGGCCCTCCAGTGGCCTTTCATAGGCAGTACTTGCAGGAGAGAAGATAGTTCATCTGCCTCCTGCAGAGCAGCTGGTGGATTTGAACCGCGTATTTTTGTGTTGGCAGAACTATTCCTTATCATTAAGCCACCAGAACAACTTTGACCTCACGGAGTTTTCGAGGCTGGGTGACCTTCAAATGCAGAATGACAGCTCTTACCTCCATAGAGCCTCTGGCTGGGTTTGAACGGCTAATGTTTCCACTATCAATCCAGTATTTAACCACTGACGCCAAGCAGGGGCTTCGATGACAAGGCGGAACTGCGATTTCTCTAACCCTAATTTCCACCTTTCTCAGCCCTGAATCCCAAGCTAACAAATCCTTAGAGAAAGGAGATAAAATAATAGAACTTTTTAATAAATTTTTCCCCCGAACAATTGGTTTGTGTTTTTTATCTTCACCACACAGGGACCATGTTGGAGAGGAAAGTTCTCTCCAGGTGCTCTAAAAAGTGTCCAGGGTAGACTTAGGAGAAAAGTATTCCTCCGGTGTCGGGAGGCTGAGGGGAGCTAGGGTGGGGAATGGGTTCAGATGGCCTGGCTGCGACTGCAGGTCCCTAGGACAGTTCCATGTGTGTCAGTCCATGGCGGGCTTTGGGAGAGGAGTCAGCAGCTCCCGGGGTGCCCCACCCCAGCTCTGAAAAGAGGAAGAGTTAATGGCCAGTGTAAAGGGAAGAAAAGGGCCAAGCCCCCAGACGTGCCTTCCCAGAGGGCTGCCATCAATCCGCGCAGCCTGGGAAGCAGGAAGAGGTGGCCTGGCGCGGAGAGGGAGGGGAACGGAAGGCAGCAAGGCCAGCTCCGGGGACGCCCCGCCCTGGGCTCTTGAGTCTCAGCACCGCAGTCAGAGGTGATGGGGCGCCAGCAGCAGAAGGCAGAGCAGCGGGCTGGGGAGCCCGGGCGCGAGCGCGGGGCCGCGGGAGTCCGCGGGCGCCTGGCAGGCCGCGCCCGGGCACGTCTGCTCGCCCCGCTGGTCCTCGCCCCCGTAGCCGCCCCAGTAGTCGTCCTCCGTGGGCGCGTCCCCGCCCTGGCGCCCCCGCGGGTCCTCGGCGGGCAGGTCTCGGTAGAGGGTGGACGGGTCTGCGGGGGGCGCGCCGGCCTCGGCCACCCCGTACAGGTGGTTGGAGGAGCTGTTGCCGCGCGCGCGACTGCCCGGCCGCGTGGGCGCCGGCGGCGGGCACGCCTGGAAGTCGGCCTCGCGCAGGGTGCGCAGGTCGCGGCCCTGGCGCTCCGGGGGCGTGGCGCACGTCACGTCGGAGCTGGACACGCGCGCGCGCTGGAACCAGGCCCAGAGCGGCCGCGCGCGGCAGTCGCACGCCCAGGGGTTGGCGTTGAGCCGCAGGAACTCGAGCGAGGGCAGGTCGGCGAGCGCCTCGCCGGGCAGCGAGGCCAGGCTGTTGTTGAACAGGTAGAGGATGGTGAGGCGGCTGAGGCCGCGGAAGGCCGCGCGGTGCACGCCCTGCAGCCGGTTCCCGTGCAGCAGCAGGCGGTCCAGGTTGCCCAGGCCGCGGAACACGTGCTCCGTGAGCAGCCGCAGACGGTTCCCGTGGAGGAAGAGGTGGCTCAGGTTGGCCAGGTCTGCGAACAGGTCATCCTGCAGGGAGAGGGAGAGAGGAGTGTGGACCAGAGTGGTCTGGGGACCCCACCCTGCCTCTTCTCCCAGGGGCGCTGGAGAGGAGGAGGAATCAAATCACCTTTTGATCCTTAGCCTTGAGTTCGAATTCTGCCATCTCTTAACTACGTGTGGGAAAAGCACTCTAGTAGAGGCCACAGGTTCTAACTTCATCAGCGTCAGAATCAGGTCCAGGGCGTATAAAACCCAATAGTGTTTGCTCTGGCCCCAGAGCTGGAGAGGCAGCAGTTTGGGGCTGGGTTCCTCAAGTCTGCACCCCTTTACAAGATCTGGGGGATAACCTTCGAGCTGCTGAGGGCAGAGAAAACCACACTTCTGAGGACTTGGGAGTCTGGTGGTACAGGGCTTCACAGAGTAATGTGTGGGTTGGAAGTTTGAATCCACCAGCCGCTCCACGAAGGAAAGCCTAGCATTCCTGTCCCCCATGCCCCTTCTGCCACTGTCGTCAAACTGAACTGACTCATAGCAGATGCTCCAGCCAGTTTTCAGAGGCTGTAAACTGCACGGGAGGAGATAGTGTCTGTTTCTCCTGAGAAGCAACGGGTGGATTCCAACCTCTGCCTTTGGGTTGGAAGCCTCACTCCCTACGCATTAAGCCACAGAACTTACTATAGGATTTATAGCCTTGGAAACTTTACAGAGTGTTAGACTTCACTGAATGTCAGTGGGCTGGTTCTCCTTCAAAGAAGCCCTGTGGCGCTGTGGTTAAAGCCACTGGATGCTAACCAGGATGTCAACAGTCCCTGAGAAAGATGTGGCCATTGCCTTCCCTGAGAATGACAGCCCTGCAAACGCTGTGGGGCAGTTCTGTGTCCTCCAGTGTCCTCATGCGGCTGGAAGCGTCTGGCTGGTAGTAGGAATGGGGGGGGGGGTCCTTCTGCAGATGGTTCATGTTCAAGTCCTGGCTCTCATTAATAACTTGTATCTCGACTAGTAACTCAGTGTCTCTGTGACTCAGTTTCCTCATCAGTAAAATGGGGAGCTTAAATAAAGCTACATGGTGAAGGTATTTAGAGCAAAGCTTCTGGGTATTGATAACCATTCTGTTAGTGAACCATTCTTGCTAACTGGCCAAGCCAGGTAACCTCTCACCTTGTTGCCTCACCTATAAAATGAGGTGGGTAAACCTGCCTGTTGGGTTTGTCTGGAGGCTTAAAGAAGGCAGCCTGCATGACAACCATTTGATGAAGTGATGGGCACAGTCCCTGGCACTCCTGAGGTGAGTGCAGGAAGCTGAGTCCCAGGTTTCAAGGCCAGCTTGCCCTCCAGCTAGCTGTGTTACCTTCAACAGGTGACATATGCTCACTGAGCCTGAGCTGAGCTCTGGCGCTGTGGTTTGTAGGAAGCAGTGCTGCTAACACAAAGGCCGTGCCTCGCTGGCCGTTCAGACACACCAATGGTTCTGGAGGAAAGAGACAGGAAATCTCCCATGCACTTTACGGGCTCAGAAAGCCAGCGAGGGGTCAGCTATGAATTGGCTCTAACTTGACGCCAGTGAGGGAGGGAGCAGTAGTTTCCTCACTATATACAAGGAAGGTCTTCCTTGTGTGTTGTTATGGGCTCCTGATTCAGAATTGATTCTAGCTGACTCTCTAGCAGGCTTTCTAGAGGTTGTAAATCTCACAGGAGGAGACTGTCCATCTTTCTTCCAAGGAGCAGCTAGCTGGTGGATTCAAACCGCATGCCTTTGGGCTGGCAGCGTAACTCCTTATCACTAGGCCACCAGAGCTCCTATACATAGACCAAGAACCTGTTGTCTGAACAGACCAAGGGAACGCAGCATGGTTTAAAATCAAGAAAGCTGTGCATCAGTCAGGTTGCATCCTTTCTCTGTACCTTTGTCTGCAATTCATCAGAGAAGCTAGACTATATGAAGAAGAATGTGGCATTAAGATTGGAAGAAGACCCCTCCACAACGTGTGTTATACAGATGGCTGGCAGAACCTTGGTTGCTAAAAGTGAAGAAGATTGGGGAGCTCTTGTGGCCTAGTGGCAAGAAGCTGTACTGCAATCCCAAAGGTACATGGTTCAAATCCACCAGATGCTCTGCCGGAAAGGAGGGATAATTTCCTCCTGTACCAGTCAGATCTGATTTGACGGTACATGCACAAAAAATAATAAAATTTAAAAAAAAGTGAAGACGACTTTGAAACACTTGCTGCCAAAGATCAAAGACTACAGTTTTTAATACAGCTTAGATCTCAACATCAAGAAAGCCGAAATCCTCACCACTCGACCAACAGGCAACACCATGACAGAGAACTGATTGACATTGTCAATGATTTCATCTTGCTTGGATCCATAATCAATATCCTTGGTAAGAGCAGTTAGGGAATCAAAAGAAATACTGCATTGGGAAAAGTACTGTCAAGGACCTTGCCAAGATGTTAAGGAGCAACGATGTCAGTTTAAAGACTAAGGCGCACCTGACAGTAGATAAGGATGACAGAAGAAGAATCAATGCCTTTGAGTTGTGGTGTTGGAAGAGAGTTACTGAGTATCTCAGAGACTGCCAAAAGAGCAAGCGGATATGTCTTGGAGAGGGCAGAGTGGTCCTTGGAGGCAAGGATGGCAAAGCTTCGTCTCGCATACTTTGGGCATGTTGTTAAGAGAAGCCAGTTCTCAAGGACATCATGCTTGAGAATGAGTGGAGTTGATGGTGAAGGAGAAGAAGACCGTCCACGAGGTGGACAGATACAGTGACTATAAGAAGGGGGCTCTAGTGGGTCAGAAATTGTAAGGATGGCATAGGATAGGGCTGGTTCAAACAGAGTGCAACTTAGAGGCAAGGATGTTTCTCTGAAAAGGTAGAGGATCACTGAAGAGGGAAGACCCTCCACGAGTGGACAGCCACAGTGACTGTACCAGTGTGCTTTGGTATATCAGAGAAAAGAGCAGGGTACAGGGACGGGCGAGGCTCAGATCTGTTAGCCACAGGGTCTCTATGAGTCGTAGTTGACAGCACCTAACATCATCACCATACAAGGAGGACGGATCACTGTACACCGCCCCCAGGATGCTGGGGTTTACACAGTCCTGGGAGGGACCAGTGGGCACCAGCTGGGCTCGGCTTAAGGAACCAGTGGTTATTTCAAGTAGGTGTCCTTGGGTGGTACAAAGGGTTGATGTGTTTGGTTTCTAACTGAAAGGCAGGATTGAGTCCATCCAGCGACACCTCAGGAGAAAGGGCTGGAGAGCTCCTTCGAAAAGCCAGCCACCGAAAACCCAATGGAGCAGAGTTCTCTGACACCCAGGGAATCAGCCTGGTGGCACTTCTTACACGCTAGTTAGGGTCATCCCTTCCCTGGAGGGGAGATCCCTGAGAACCCAGGGCTCTGCTCCTCCCTCTGATGGCTGCCGGGTGGTGGTGGGGTGGTGTTTTCACACTCTCCCCCTAGAGGCAGCAGTGGGGGGGAAGAAGGCTGCTCTGTCTCTTTGTGCCCCTCAGAGAGGTGGTCCGGGTTAGGATGACAAGGACCTCGGGCGGTGGTTTAGACTTAATGAGGGCGAAGGGGCTGCTCTCTGCATTTTAAGCAGTTCACCAGGTTATAGGTCAGGTTAGGGAACTAGTGCATAGGGACCCACTAGCAAAGTCCACTTTTCACAGAGTATAGGGTCCCCTAGAGATGTGAAAGTCTTGCCAGAGAGGGGTCCAGGACCCCAGCCCTGACCCCTTAGTTCTTTGGCACGTTTCTCCCCTACGGGGCATGGTGGGGTCAGCAGGGCCCGGGGGAGGCCCCAGCATCTCCTGATCCTGGACTGTGACTTGTGGGAAGATGATGCCCCTCCCCCATCCTAGGCCACCCCAAGAGTCTGGTTGGAGGCTCTCAGGTGTGGGGGGAGAGTGTTGCCACCCAGCCCACACCCCCAGCCTCCACCTTCCTGTGCTCGAGTGTGCTCGCCCCCTCCCATCTGGCTGCCACCCTCCCGCTCCAGGAACTGAGCCTGCCATCAGCTCTCCTCGAGGCCACATTGAGATCCGCCCCCCTCAACCTTCCTGCAGCCTCTGACACCAGCATTCTCTGCCTCCTGCTACCACCACCCTGGACCAGGCATGGGGCTCCAGCTGGCTCCTGCATCCCTTGTCCCCCAGCCTGGCCCATCCAGGGAGAGAGGGCTCTGAGTCCTCCTGGATGTTGACTCCAGGGGTTTCTCCTTCAACAGAGTGTCATCAGGAGTAAGGTACAGCTTTTCTATGAAGATGGCACCGAAAGTGAAGAAGGAAGCCCCTGCCCCTCCCAAAACCGAAGCCAAAGCAAAGGAATTAAAGGCCGGGAAGGCATCCTGAAGGGCATCCACAGCCACAAAAAAAAAAAGATCCGCGTGTCACCCACCTTCCGGCGGCCTAAGATTCTGAGACTCCAAAGGCAGCCCAAATACCCCCCGGAAGAGCGACCCCAGGAGAAACTAGCTTGACCACTATGCCATCATCAAATTTCCCCTGACCACTGAGTCAGCCATGAAGATAGAACAACACACTTGTGTTCATTGTGGATGTCAAGGCCAACAAGCACCAAATCAAACAAGCTGTAAAGAAGCTCTATGACATTGATGTGGCCAAGGTCAACACTTTGATTAGGCTGGATGGAGAGAAGAAGGCCTGTGTTTGACTTGCTCCTGCTTTTTGTATGTTGCCAACAAAATTGGGGAGTCCAGCTGGCTAATTCTAAATACAAATTTTTTTTTCTCTCTCTCTCTCTCTCTCACACACACACACACACACAAAGAGTAAGGCACACCAGGTACCTGGTTAGAAGACAGCATACAGACGGAACAAGGATGTGGGAGGGACACTCAAAGCTGGGAGATCCGGAGGAATTCTGGTGCATTTGCCCCAAACCCATCTCACTGCCACTGATTGGATTCCGACTCATGGCAAATGTCCATGGGGTTTTGGAGGTTACTACCCATCTTTCCCCTGAACAGCAGCCAGTGGATTTGAACCTCTGACCTTTCAATTA